AAGACTCATGGCCCTCAGCGGAGAGGGATTTGCAGGTACGGTCCCAGCGGCCTTCTTGGTGTACTTCCGCTTAGGCTTATCCGATGCTGGCTTTTCGACTGTCGCTTTGCGCTTTCTTGTGCTTGGTTTAGGAGTCGATGTTTCGTTGTTGTTGTCCGATGAAGTAGTGGGTGTTAAAGAAAGATTGGCTTCTGGGTGTTGAACAGAGTTAGTAGAAGTAGTGAAATCCAGATTGGCTGGGAGGAATTAAGTACCTTGATGGGTCACGGCCTGAGGCTCGGCGAACACAAAATTTTGCTGGATTGGCGGTTGGCCTTGGGGCACTTCGTCGCGAATGAAACTCGCCAGGTCTTGCTGCAAATTCTCGACCTACGAGGACTGCTGATCAAGGACCGGTGGAGTATGCGCCTCGGGGAGCGTAGGAACAGTATTCGCTGCTGGGCCAGGAACGCCTTCTTCGCCTTGTAAATCATCTTGGAGGCTGTGGGTAGCCTCATTGAAAGCCAGACCACCGAAAGGGTCATCAAAGGAAGCCTCGGATGTGCCTCCGAAAAGACTTTCGAAATAGTCCATATCGAAGCTAGGCCCTGATTCCACAAAGATGAGGTCAGTCGGGATGTTCCAGGTGTTCCATGAACGTGCGCGTGGGAGGCTATAATGAACGTGAATCAAGCAGGCAGTAGGCCTCCTTGATGGCGAATCACTCATATGGAATCTAACATGGGAAGGCTAATTTTGCGAACGTACCTTGACCTTCCAGTGTCTTCAATACTGGAGTTAAATTTGCCCAGCCAAGTGTTGACCGGGGAGATGATGGATCGAAATGGGCACCTGTGATGTGCCCGGTGGAAGCAAAGCTGGAAATGGGATCGATGACGCCGGGACCGCGAAACGAACAACGCGCCCGGGGACCGCGAGAGGAAGAACGCGCCTGGGGACAGATGAAAGATTGCCGCAGGGGAACCAGCGACGGAGGAAACCCAAGGTGGTTGGGTAACAAACTGGAAAACAGAAACCTTCCACGCGAGATGAAAAGTAGGGAGGTGTGAGAAACCTCTACTTGTCCACGGTCTCCGAAGTGAACCGCAATTCCAAGTTTGAGGAAGGGCGCTGTTGAAGGTTGAAGAGAAGAAGGAAAGAGGAAAAGAAGAACGGAGGGGCACCGAGAATAAATACACCACGTTGTGGGTCCCTCGAAGCTTTGCTAAACAGATTTTAAAGGGCTTGTCGTATACCTACCGATACTTTCAAGAGGCCGGCCGAGACTCTTGCCGGACATTTAGGAAGCCTTGCTGAGCCAAGGGTACCTACGCCAAGCCAAGCATATCCCGCGAGGTGCCCAAGGTGGCCCCGGACGACGTCAGATATCTTGTTTACTTTGGCATCATTTGATAGGGGTGCATCCCCCTGGATAGCCTTTTACCTAACTGCCTTCCTATCTACTTCTGATATCTTTTCCTGGTGTTGGATATATGGTTTCAAGGGGCTTCTCTATCATGTAGATATTTGTTTGGTTGTGTGAAGGTGTTGAAAGTGAAGATATAAGATGCCTCGTGATGGCTTATACGTGACGACCTTGGACGCGTGTTCGGATGAAATACACTACCCCTGATTACGAGCTCCAAGGCGGCGTTGCCCTGAAGCCGACCCTCCACGCACGCACACTTGGCTCTCTCGGTTGGGAAGTGGTCTGCGTTGACCTCCAACTTGTTCTCGATCTGGTGATACCACACCTCGAAGGTCACAGTATCCTTGGTCTTGTCGTTGTAGAAGATAGGACCGTCAGCCATCTTCGCCGACTTGGTGGCGAGGCTCATGGTGGAAGGGGTCGACGTCGCGGGACTACCACTGATTTCGGGCAAAGAAGGTTTAAACCTCGGTGAATGGATTGAAAGCCTCTTCTTCATAGCCGTTTTACCATTCTTCGAATGCTGTGATGTTTGTATTTCAAGATGTGCTCGAAAATCTATCATAGGGAGGAATGCGTCCGGGTCAAAAAGGGAGTGCACCCCGATTTCATCCCTTGAATTTTCATCCGAAAAAACTTTGTTTTCTGACGTCAACCCCTGCGTCGAGACGTGGGATAGGTACCTGGATATCGGCATGAGTTTCTCAGCCGTCTATTCTATTTCTCTCCAACATATCATGGATCATTTATTTTTCTTGATGGTCATTCGTGAACATCCAGTTTCGTCAACAAGTGTCAGACTTTCCATAGTGACAAGCCCAAGCGGGATGGTTCCTCGCCCATGTTTTGGTTGTTTTCTTGGTTGCGGAGGCTGTTATGCTGCTCGCGAGCCTTTTCTCTGGACTCACACCTGTCCGGGCTAGCTGCGAAGGGTGAGCCGGGCTTCCTATCACTCTCCTACCACGCTGAGAGACTCGTTTTTTTCGCAGCGGAGAAGGATGGGCCGGCGAAATCGCCGCGTTCTCTCTTCGTGTACTTTCTTTTCGCTTTCGGCGGATGTCGTTTCCTTCCGTTCGCCAAAACAGCAACGACCTCGAGCGCCTTTGCTCGAATCGTGCCATCGCCTTCAAGATGCTTGGCATCGTCACAACCTCCCTCGAGAGGTTGGCCAACGTTGCTGACTGCCGCTAAACACTGCTCTCAATGACCAGTGAGTAGTTGGTTTTTCCTGAGGTAGGTAGCATCACGATACTGCGAGGGTCCCTCTTTGGGCTATCTGGGGTGGGAAGAGAAAGACTTTCCTCAAAATTCTCATCAATCTCGAGCACATAGTCGGTGGGACGAGAAATTCCGCGTGCCAAGGCGCAGCCTAGAAGCCCGTGACCTTGTTCTCCCGCGACTGTATCCAGTTGCGCCATCGGGCGGTTCTGGTGTTGATCATGCACCGTGATTCGTATCAAATAGGTAAGGTACCCGTTGAAAAAAGGTACATGGCCACGGCCCTGCTGTTGCTGTTGAGCTTGGAGTTGCTCCGGTTCTCTTGTGCTGTGTCGAACCCCCCGTTGACTTGGGACTCAGCTCTTTGAAGCTGCAGAGTCTCCAGCGGGCTCTTCGATCAACATATTCTAGCCCGACAGTGTGTGGACTCCATGAACCCCGAGAGTTCACGGCTGAGCGCCCCCATCCAGGGGGCCTGCTCGCCCTGTGATATCTCGGGATTATGGCTAGCGACAGTCGACTGGAAGTGGGCGGCACGGAGGCCATATTCCTGAGGGGAGACGGACTTGCGCGCCAGCAGTCAGCGGATAGTTAAATACTGTCCCAGATGCCGTCGCCTCGCGCAAGGCTCCCATAAGCATACGGGTACAGAATGACAAGCCCATACTCATGTCGACGGAAAGGTCTCGTTCGTGGAGCAAATAGATTTATGCATAAAAGACGAGGAGATATGGACTGAGAAGAGCTCCGTGTCTTGAGAGGATGTAATTGTATATAGGGGTTTGGGGGTGGAGAAGGAAGGAAGAGGAGAAAGAAGAATAGGGGCTGCCGGAAGGGATGGCCGTGATGCGACCATGCATACTGGCCCGGCCACCGAGATGGTAGATTCGATGATCTTAAACTTCCCAAGGAGTGGCTCGATCATCTCGTTGGCGCCTCGAACGATCGCCTCGGTAGAAGCACAACGGCGGTTTGGCCTCGGCACTAGCAGGCTTTGCTCAAAGGTGACCAAGCCGCCGTTGCCTTGAAGTCGTACAGGAGAGAGCTCGTGGCATCTTGAAAGAGAGAGAAGGTACATATGTGATCACGAAGTCCCAGATGACCTTCGGATTCTGTTCTTCCATGTTCCAACCGTTGTTGACCAATAGCGTCCTTGCGTGCATCAATGCTCTCTTGGCTGCTTAGAGCACCAGCAATCAGAGGACGGCCAAAGTCCTTCCCAATGGTGGAAGCCTTATGGACTGCTTCCACTATGACCTTGGTGCAGATTGTCAAGGCCGTACTGGTAAGCCAAATCAAGACAAATCAAGCTCAGGGGAGGCCAGACGGCGCGAATATACCCACCGCCGAGGATGTCTTGTCTCGGCAGTGCAGGGAAAGAAATACAGGCACCACTTCCGTCTGTCGGTCTGATTTGCCGAGACCTACGCTTGCTGTACCTCGACTCCGTCCACGGCAGGTATTTTCCGGCCGCTTTCCTGTGCAATATCCAGGTAAGCAGGAAAGAGGAAAGAGGAAAAGCTAACCAGAGGAGCTCAGCAATCGCACCAAGCTGTACGAGGTGGGCGGCCATGACTGCTCTCGAGGGAAATGCGAGGAAAGAAGGGAAGGACGGATAGGTAGTGAGAGATCCCATTCCTTAGTCTCCGGTCGTCATCTCTGGAGGCGGTCTATCAGGCCAAGCGAACACCTGGCTGGGTGCGATGGGTGTAAATGCTTCCCATTGTCAAGCGGGGTATGCTTCTCGAGTTGCTGGTCCGAAAGCGTGGAAACGCAGCCGTTCACCTTCGGCATAAAATCTGAAGGGTAATATCTACGGAGTTTCCTCCAGGCCCGGCGGCGCAGATCCTCTCTTTCAGATTGTTCCCGAGATTGTGTCAGCCAGGACAAGACGAGGAGGAGCCAAGCTCGCAATAGATCATGTAAAGGGTATATATACCGGCGTAGACTCTCTTTCGCACCAGGATCATTCCCGAAGGCGATCACTCTTCGTCCCTGATTTCTTCATCTTCGGGTGAACTGGACGCGACAGCGAAGGAATTTTTCTCTTTTCTCCAACAAGGGGGTCTGTCGAAGACGAAGCACCAGCACTGGAGGAAGGGCAAGTAGACGGAGAGCCAGCAGACGAAGACGGGTGCCATGTTGTGATGTTCTGCTGCGCCTCTCTGAGTGCCAAGCATCGCGATGTAAACAATGGGAGGGTCTGGTATGTTTGCGCAAGGGGGAAAGTAAAAAAGGGACCTGGACAGCAAGATCTATGTCGAATCTCGATGCCCCAGCGACGATGTAGATTCCAATTTGGGTCAAAGACTGGCCTGCAAGATGATGCCATCATGCGCAAAAAATAAAAGCCCAGCTGTGAGACTGGAAAAGCTGGGCGGGCCGGGATTCGAACCCGGGTCTTCAATGAACGCTGGGTATGTATATATGGAAACAAACGCTAAGTACGCTCATGGAACACGCTGACCACTGCGCTACCCGCCCTTTGGGATTTTGTTAGATGGTATACTGTGCTTTGAGCTTATATGCCCCGTCGCTTCTGGCACTCCCATGTGGTTTGGGTTGCGAGTTCTGCAATGTACGGAGGAGAACCTCAAGACCTTGCTGGCGGTCCCATGGAATGAGCATGAACTTTAATAGAACGGCTCATAGAAGTAGAAAGAGGTTCAATGCCATCATCTGCGAGAGGATGACTTGCCGAAACCCCCATGCATTCGTCACCGTCACGATGAGTGTTGTTGACTCTCTCCCCCTGAATTGTCATCAACTGGACAGGTGCTGACAGATCGAACAGTCAATTATATGGAAGCAATCGACTGACTGATGCCCGGTAGGTATGACTGGCTAGCGGTCAGATAATGACTCCAGTGAACATTACAACCTTTTATTCTATCCTGAAGACATCTAGTCCGAGTCGCTGTTTTGACCCTTGGCCCACTTGCTAGTTTAAGGATGAACGCTTAATGGTACAGAGTTGGGAAAACATAGACCGCACCCTTCAAGACACCTCCTCCACCATTTTCCCGCTCCCCAGTTTGCCCTTAAAGACACGCCCGACAGGCCCGATGAGCATGTCGTCGGGCACGCCCACCCGACTGCCCTCCTTGTTATTGACCCACCGGACGAACAGCGGATCTGCCCTCTGCATCTGTTCCGAGTCTGGTGTCTCATCGCCGGCCAGGGCGCTGCGGCGATTCGTCTTAGGCGCTTGCTTCTTGAGAAGCTTGTTGATGGTTTCCATCTAGGTCCTGTTAGATATATGAACACGAAGACAAATTCTGGCAACATACTTTGACCTCCTCGTTCCGCTTCTCGCTGAGATTCCTTCGTCGACGGGCCATTTCCGCCCGCCTCATCGACAGCTCTTCGGCAGTAAAGACCTTCTTGGCTTGGACCTCTGTAAAGGAGTTAGCACTGAGCTACCAGGTCAACGAGTTGCTTACCGTCGGACAGCTTGAGATACTCATGGGATGCGTCGCCAAGCTTGGCCCGTTGCCGAGCCGTGAGCTTCGTCAGATCCGGGGTGCCTGCGCGACTTCCGTCGTCGCTATCAAGCTCCTCGTCCTCTCCTTCAGCGTCCTCGTCCACGACTTCAATCTCTTCACCTTCGGCGTCGATGTCGACTTCTTCGTCCTCGCCCTCAGCATCTTCGTCACCACCCAGGAGTTCTGTTGCCTCAGGCTCGCTCTCCAACTCGCTCAGCTCATCGTCGTCATCGTCGTCCTCGTCATCTTTCGGAGCAGCCGCGGCCTTACCACTTGGCTTATGGATCGCTACCCCTTTCTTAGCAGGGGTGGTCTTGGGCGGTCTGGAGATAGTGATAGCTGGGGGTGGAGGAGGGGCAATATCCATATCAATGTCGCCATCGGCATCTTCTTCCTCCCCCTCAGCATCAAGGTCCATCTCGTCGTCGACCTCGCCTTCGGCGTCTTCGTCATCGTCCATCTCTTCGTCGTCGTCGTCATCCTCGTCGCCTTCTAGATCAACCAGACCGGCTCGATTCCCGACTTCAATCTCATCTTCCCCTTCCTCTTCTTCATCCTCTTCGTCCTCCTCGTCGCTGTCGCTCTCAACCACGTAGCTCTTCTTTGGGCCCCGAGACCGTTTCCCGGCGGCCGCAGCGGCAGTGCTGGAGCGGGCGTAGGACCCGCGAGCAGTAGTACCGCTGGAGGAACGCTTGTTGCCGCCGGTGACTTGGCGCAGCTTATTCGACGGCACCTTAACCGTCAGATGAATATGCTGTCCGGAGTCAGCGGGGCTACTTGCCGTGGAGGACGGAGGGTCCCGGCTGACGGAGGCCAGCCCCCCGGAGCGACGGGCCCGGGACGACATGGCGCGCTCGTTGTCTCTGTCGGCCATGTCAGTGATCGCCTCAGTAGCGCGCTGGGCGGCCGAGCGACGCGGCCGCGAAGACATGATGACGGTGCTTTGTGACTGGGTGGCCGCGATGGATTTTGCTGGGGCGGGGTGGTCAAGGAGAGACACGGAATGCCGTGCAGAGATGGCGTCTCTCAGGTTATCGGCTCTCGCGGCGCCTGTGCAAGGTGGGGGATGTGCTCGGTTCGACAATTTGGGGTTCACGTCGTCCAAATGCGTTGGAGGAAGGCCGGAGGCAAATTGCCAGATGGAGAGAGATGAAGCCCAGCAACGAACGGGCAAACAAACGGGGCAGCAGCCACTGGGCCACGGCTTCGCTTTTTTTCGATCCCACGCGATCCTCATGTACGATGATGGGTCGATCTACCAGCAACCACTCCAGCGCCGCCCAAAGCAGGAGCTCATCTGATGTGTCTGTCGCCTTGCTTGCGTCGAGCAAGCCGGCTGGCGTCAACTTTGACGGCGAGCCAAAGACGTTGGCCTCCAACCACACATCGCTTGGCTTTTTTTTCCGACCAACAATTATGGCCGGCCCTCGTCGCACAAAGACAGCCCCCGTTTGAGTCAGGTCCTCGATGCCGACCTGCATCCCTCTCAGACCCGCCTCGTGCTTTTCGCTGCATCCCCTGCCGTCGACGCGCACTCCATCTCACTAGCAAACGCGACTTTCTCGCACCGTGGACTGAGAAAAGCGACTTACCCTCGGATTGCGGGACTGACGCGGATGACGGGTCGGTGCAGCCAAAGACGGCCGCCGTGCCACTTGTTCGTCTGGCTGCCAGGTGGCTGATCGACTAGCTATCTGACCTTATTTCGGCTCGGATCGTCCGAGGGGTCCAGCTGAGCCCGTGAGAGTTGCTGGTTGGTGGTTGCCGTCCGACCTGTCGCCAGATGGGTCGAGAAGTCGCGAATTGGCTTGGAAGGTGTGGATGAGGCGAGCTGAAACCTCAGCAAAATTTCGAGCTGCTGATGCGAAGGATCTCCCTCCCACCGTGACACACTCGCCAATGCTAGCCAAGAAGCTCAATGATAGACCCTTGATCTCGTCCAGGTGAAGGCCGTAAGCAGAAAGGCTCATCAGCCTGGTCGGTAAGGCTGGTTCGCATCGCATCACCAGACTCCAGTTCCTGCCGTTGAGCTGGCCCCACCCCAGCTCTGCGGAGGTGGGTCCGCCACAGCGCACGGGGCGGTACAGGGGTGTTCAGTGGTGTCCAGCCACAGCCGGCCGCGAGCCTCGGCTCAACACCCGCCCCAGTACATCACCAAGTCGCGCCTTCGTCATTGCGTTTGCATTTCTCCTGTCAACCACAATTTCCGTGACATCACACCAGGCTCGAATATCTTAGCAAGCATGGCTGACGGCGACGGCGACGAGAAGCCCCAGACGGACCCGGCGACGTTGCAAACGCCACAAGCACAACCCGATACAGAGACCCGAGGGGACCAGGTCCAGCCAGCAACCCGGGAACAGGCGCGCCGCTTTCTCCAGGAGCCAGATGTACAGAAACAAACTACAGAACGCAAGGCGGATTTTCTACGGAGTAAGGGAATCACCGAGAGCGAAATAAGGGAGCTCCTGGAAGAGGCAGCGTCAGAACCAAGAACAGAAGCATCATCTCAAAGTGTAAGCGACCCCGGCCGGCCATTGCCGTAAAGCAGACAACCTGACGCGTCCCGGCAGATTGAAAGCAAAGACGAAGGAGCAAATCCAAAACAGACACGGGATATGAAGACGATACATCCGGCAGAGAAGAAAGAAGACCGACCACCCATCATTACCTACCCCGAGTTCCTTACCAAACCGGTCCGACCACCGCCATTGATCACGGTCAATGGCTTCCTCAATACCCTTTATGCCTTCGGCGGCTTCTCGACCCTCCTCTACGGCACAAGCAAGTACGTCGTGGAGCCGATGGTACAATCACTCACCGAGGCCCGAATATCTCTGCACGAGACCGCCAAAGAGGATCTGAGAAAGCTGGTGGAAAAACTCGAAACAGTGGTATCAGAGATCCCACCGACCGCCAAGAAAGCTGAACTTGCTGTTGGGGGGGAGAGCTACCGGGACGAGGACGAGAAGAGTAGCTATGATGACCCCACCGAGCTTTTCCACCGGGATATCGGCGTGCAAACGTCGCTTCCGTCCAGCCCAGTCCCGAGAGCCGCCGAGCTGGCGCCCCCGGAATCAGCTAGCGCGCAACAAGCACGACGGCTGACAGAACTGGTTGCCTCGGTCAAGGCTATAAGCGATGGTCTGGTATCTCAGACAGAAGATTTTGGCGATACCACGTCAGTGCTGGCTGCCCTCCGAGACGACGTGACTCAGTTAAGCGCAGCGCATCACCAGTCTTATGCAAGCGGATTCGCCACATATGGAGGCAACCGGGACGAGCCTGACGACGAGACCAAGAAGGCCAAGGAAAACATCAGAAGGGTGAAGGGTGTTTTGCTGAGCTCCCGCAACTTCCCCGCATCCTCAAGATAGCGGCTTGACCGCGGACATCGTCGACGCCGTGGAGGTCATGGACGTGGTGGACGTGCTGGACGTGATGGACGTGGTAGACGTGGTAGATGGCGTTTGGCAAGGGGACTGGAATGGTTTGAACCCGAACCTGACCCCGAACCTACTGCAAAACAACCTACTGCAAAACAGCCTGCTGCAAAACAACCTACTGCAAAACTCTGAGGGCCAAAAGACACCACTTCCAGGGTATTGGTTTGAGTGCCGTAAACGGACGTGTGGGAGAGAGGCACAGCATCCACATTATCATTGGATCACCAGCCTACGATACTGCGTCGCTGGCGCGGGGTATCAAGTCTCTTAACCATAAACATCATTAGCGTTGGGGTATAGCTATCGCTGCCTTGCACATGCTCTGCTGGTGACTCTGATTTCCAGATGACAGCTGGCTGGGCCCTGTATTTTGCAGGAGATGGTGTACAGCTTGCAGGTAGCGTGATACCAGCGGAGACCTCCGAGGTCTGTCTTCAGATGCGGGGCTTTCTCGGGCTGACACTTGTCTTCAGATAGATTAAGTAGCCGTTTGCGCCAATACCAGAACAATGGCCATAAGCCATAGGTACAACTTCTTGCATTCATCAGAGCA